CTGCCGCGCTATGTGGATCTCCTCCGGGGCAGGCTGGAATCGAACTCATGCGGAAGTGGCTTAAGCTTCTTAGTGCTGTGCTTTAACCTGCTGCGCCACCAGGGAGGGCCATATGTCTATCTTTTAAGGAAAAAATAGTTTAGAATGATCATTCATTTCAGTTGATACTCTGTGTTTACTTGGAGTTCAGTTTGAACAGCTTGCTTAGTGGAAGGCCAAGGCATCCCTCCCAACTTCTGCCATGAGATTCATGAGAGAGCTCTATTTGATCCTCATAAAACTTGTTGGGAAATCTTGGAAAGGTTACTTGGAGGTCACAGAGGTTTTGACTAACTCCACAGTTCTGTGATTTCAGAAGGATGCTGCAGTGATATGAGAAGTGAAATAGATGACAGGTTTGAGGAGGCAGGGGCAGGTAAGGGATTGCCAGTCTAGTCTGGGAGAATCTAGATGGTGGGTCAGAACCCTTGCTGTAGTTTTTTTTTTTTTTTGTGGAGTTAAGATGAAGATGTGGGGCATCAGGAGATGAGTGACTCGTCAGCCAAGGGTTTAATATCACTAATATGGATGTTAGAGCGCCCGTGAGTTGAATTCAAGGTTCTGAATAAGTAAAAAGAGGTCTCTGGTATTGTAACCAGTTTTTAGCCTTGGAATTCTGTTTACTTCCTTTTGAGTGTACCTCCTTTAAGTGCTTGGTGCTTCCTACAGAATTTTTAATTTTTTCATTGGCTAGTAGGACCTTGGGAAAGTTACTTAGCCTCTCTGAGTTTTATTTTTCCCTATTTTTGAAATGTGAGTGGTGTCTTCTTCTTAGCATCATCCTGATGGCTTTGAGAGAATGTGAAACTATTTTGCATAGTTTAGAGTATTAGAATTCTTTAGAATATTAGAATTTTTCTGTTATTTTCCTGATCAGTGCATAGGACATGATTATTTAATATATGTTTACATTCTAGTTTTTGAAAACTGACTTCTACCTACTTAATCTTTTTTATTTTTAACTTTCATTAAGAGTTTTAAAAGAGCATCTTTTGATATACAGCAAAATTGAAGGAAAGATAAAGAGAATTAAATACTCCCTGGCCCCTCACATGCCCCAACTCCCTTATTAGTAATGTCTCTGCTGGTACATTTGTTACCGTTGATGAGTTAACATCGACACATCATACTTACCTAAGCCTGTAGTTTAAGTTAGTGTTCACTCTTAGTGTTGCTTAGATCTTGGGGTTTGGGAAAATGTGTGATGAGAAGGGGCCCTCATTATAGTATCAGACAGTGTATTCAGTGTCCTAAAAATTTTCTGTGTTCTACCTGTTCAGTGGTACAAATGTACCACTGATTTTTTACTGTGTGGATTTTAAATTCTTTATCAGAATGTCTTAGAGTTGGAATTGTTTAGTTTATAACTGTTTTCAGATTGAATCTTTCACTTAGTGGTATGCTTTTAAACTTCCTCTGTGTCTTTTCATAATTTGATAGCTCATTTCTTTTTAGCACTGAATAGTACTCAGTGTTTATCCACGTAGCTATTAAAGGATGGCTTGGCAAGTTTTGTAACTGTGAATAAAGCAGCAATAAACGTGTTTGCAATTTTTTTGGATGTAAGTTTTCAAATATCCAGGAGCATGATTGCTGGGTTGAATTAAGACGCTGCTGCCACCCACTTTCCCAGGTGGATCTCCCAGCTTTCCCTCCTTCAGCTACTCAAGAGCTATTATTTGGGGCCTTACTTGGAGCTGTGCCATTTCCTCCTCTAGTTTGCGTGGAAGCTAAGCCTTTCATTCAAAGTCTGATTCAGAACCTTTCCCTCTAGGAAATTTCTTTCCCCAGCTAATGTTTAATAGCTCCTGCATTCTGATGCATCTCAGGTATCCATCACTGTTTATCTTGTCAGAATTGTCACATGTGTGCCCTTGGATGGTACATGTAAAATGTCATGTTTTTTTGTGTAGCTTTTGGGTGGACAGTTCTAGTATTTTCGTTTGACTGTCCCAGGAAAGATTAAGGACTAATCCACACACCAGAATTGAGTTGCTAGAGGGTGGGAGCTGTCATTTGAACTTTCTGTGCTCTTTGCATATTGTAGTCAAATGGTAGATGCTTTTTGAACTGAATTTCCAAGCTTTCTAACACCCAAATCCTCGGTTAGCTCCCACTAAGTGGGGAAGACAGCAACAGCCCAATAAATCTGGTATTTTTTTTTCCCCATTGAAGTTCAAATACATTTTCATCTTCCCAGTTGATGCTTGAAATTCTTGGTGCCTTTATAACTTTTAGTCACGGCAGTATTCTTTGCTTGTTGATTGAAACTGAGGGCTGTAAACTGGCAGATACGACTACTTAGTTTTGCAGTTTTTAGATTCAAAAGTTGGATTCAAGTAAATATCATGAGCCTTGCCCTGTAAGTTTTCACTTTTGTTAATTTTGGAACTCCTGTTTTGTGTAGCATCTTTTGGTGAAATGGAAGTGCATATCTCTTTTGTCAATGGAAGTAGTCTTTAGTTTACAAGGAACTCATTGCTGCATTGCTGTTTGATTTCAGGTATTCAAAACCTTTGACCACATGGCACGCCAGGATGATGAAAAGAGGAAAAAGGAGCTGGAGGAGAAAATCAGGAGAAAGGAAGAAGAGGAGGCTACAGCTGTGGCAGCGGCTGCAGGTGGGCAGGACCCTGTCCCAGTCCCAGTTCAGGAGGTGGAGATCGACTCCACCACAGATGCTGATGGGGCTCAAGAATCTCCGGGTCCACAGGGCACGGTGCAGGATGTGGCCCACCACTTGGGGGAGGTCGCGCCGGCAGGAGCAGATGCTGGTGCTGCTGAAGTTCCAAGGGAATCCCCAGCTCTTTCCAAGTAAGAACGTCTACTTTCTTGCTGACATCTGGTGCTTGGGATTGTTCATAAGCTTTTCTTTGTAACACCCCAACTCTTTATCTCACTATTTAATTCTTTATGTTTGTAAATTGCACACAGTACTTGGGTTACATAGGAAAGGAGGTCATTTGGCTCCATTTTTCTCCTGTTTTTTTCCCTCATGAGGTAAGGTGATAATCTGCCTTCTTTTAATTAGTTAGACAACTAATTAAAAGTTAGCACCACAATTAGAACACTTGGCTCATGGAGTTATACTTGTTTTCTCAACCTACCTATATCATGTGTGGGGCTTAATTTCAGGGTCCTGACTCATGTTTTTTTTCCCTCCATGGGCACTTGGCAACCATGATCCTCTAGGTCTAATGTATACCTAAGAGGCCATCTGGTAGAGGGGACTGTAGATCTAGAGCCTCTTTAGATGCTGCCACCTACTAAATATATTCCCTTGAGCAGATAGTGTTGCCTTTCTGTGTCTCATTTTTCTCCCTTGTGAAATGGAGGCGATAATGACAGCATTTCCGTCATAGGGCTTTTGTGAATATTGAAAGGTGTCCAGAGGTATGCAGCTAATGAGTGGCAGGTGCCATACTTCTCTTCACTGAACTTCAGAGATCAGTGTCCTGATGCTTTGAACTGATTATGTAGCCCCTTCCCTGCACCTGTCGCATGAAGGAGCTGACACTCCCTTCTGTGGCAGTTGTGGCACTGTCTAAAAGACTGTGGTGTTGCTGGCCTGCTTTGAAATCTGCTCTCCCTCTTGTCCCTTCTCAGTTTTAATTTCCCTTCTGTTCTTCCCTCTGCTTTCCCTCTTCCCCTCACCAGTTTTGGGGGGAGTCTTTGAATGTAGTTTCTAGCTAATGAAGCAAAGTCACCAGCTTGGAGTGACATAAAATACAAAGTCAGGGAAATAGATTTTGTGAAGATAAATTGGGGCAAGACTGCAGGCCAAGCTGAATGATTGGGTTCTCAGAGAAAGTCATTGGGTGGTTGGGTGCACCTCATTATGACAGTCTCCAATCCATCATGCTTTTTTTTTTTAATAATATAATAGTTTGTTTTTACATCATTTTGTACATTATTTTTTTTTCCATCTCAACTGTAATCCCCCTGGGTTTCCAATCACCAAGTCACCCATGTGCCATCACCATAGTCCATTATGCTTTTAAGGTATTTTTCATTAATTTCAGTTATTTAGTTAAGATTTGATTTGGTTTTCTTTGTGTGTATGCTGCTTGGGAATTTTGAGTGTCTTTCAGATTCTGTTGTTGGTTTTTTGGGTCTCTGTTAAATCTTTTCTCATTGTGCTGCCTATGGAATAGTTTCTGTTGCCTTCAGTGAAATTTACTGTCTTTTCTCACTTAGTGTCTGAGTTCATTTTACATTTCTGATGAAGTATTTTTCAGCTTTGCAAGATCCATTTGCTCCTTTTATGTCTGATTTCTACCCTCACTGGTTAGCTGTTTAAAGTCTTACTCTGATAATTTCATCATCTGTCATTTCTTGTTTTGTCCTTTTTCGTGGTTGCATTTTCTTTTGATTTTAGGTTGCAATTTCCTGCTTCATTGCAATTCTGGTGATTTCATATTGGGTACTAGATATTATGAATGTTAGGTAGTTGTGTTTGTTTTTTTCCTTTAAAGAACGTTGAGTTTTATCTTTGCAGGCAATTTATTTGCAGTGCGGTATGTTGTTTTAGAAGTATTTTTTCTCAGAGAGCGCACATTTATTACTGAACCAACCTAGGTACCAGAAACATACAAAGAGAAAAATAATTTCCTAAATTGGGCAAATTATGGCATTTTCCCTGTAATATAGTTCGATGCCAGTGATCTTGATGTGGCATAAATGTGTGTGCCATCTCATGTGCACTTCTCCTTACACACCTAGCTTCTTTTGGAGTTGTAATAGATTTTATTACCAGTTTTCATCCAAAAACCCTTTGGGTATGGGATGATTCTGCTTTTGTCTCTTGGCCAGGAGTTGCTTAATCCTGAAAGTCTTACGAGGTTTTGTTAAGGATCAGTATATACTGCTACAACTTGATGGCAGAGAAAAGGAAAGAAAGGCAAAGGGGTGGAAAGACTTACAAAAGCTTGTTTTTAAGCTTTGTTAGTTATGTGTCCAGAGTACCTTTCATCGTAGCACTAGGTTAATCCCACTTTAAAATATGGCTGGCTGTGAGCTCTGACCCAACCTAGCCTCATGCAGCCATAAAAAGTCCATGTGCTTGCAGTGTAGTATTTCTGAACTCTGTGTAGCTTTTTCAGTAGTCTTTTTATAAAGTAATTAAATATGAAAATGAAGATTGAATATCAAAGTTTCAGTTTGATTTATTCCAGCTCTTACTTATACCAACAAAATTTTGGAAGAATGATGGATTGATATATTTTCCTTAAGGAGCTGGTTAAACACACTAATAAAGTGTTTTAAAAGATTATTAACACAGATATTGTGATGGTCACTTTTTTTTTTTTTAAAGATTTATTTATGCATACAGACTGGGGTACAGGCCAGAGATGAGGGGGCCATGAGAAGATTCACTCGAGACAGAGTGGGGAGCAGAACAGGCAGATCGAGAAGATTCATTCGAGACAGAGTGGGGAGCAGAACAGGCAGATCGACAAAGTACACTGCTGAGGGGAGCAGCGGGTGGGTCAGGAGACGTCTGCCACACCATGTGGATCTCCTCCGAGGCGGGCAGGCGGGAATCGAACTCATGCGGAAGTGGCTTAAGCTTCTAGTGCAGGGCTTTAACCCACTGTGCCACCAGGGAGGCCTGATGGTCACTTTTTAAAAAATATTTATTTATGTATGCATATAGAACTGGGGCACAGGTCAGAGGTGCAGGTGCAGTGAGAAGATTCACCAGACTTAGAGTGGGGAGTAGAACAAGCAGATTGATAACACTGCTGAGGGGAGCCTAGCGGGTGAGACAGGAGAGGTCTGCTGTACCATGTGGGTCACCTCTGGGGCCAGGGATCGAATTTGCGCTGAAGCAGCTGCAGCTAGCTTGCAGTGCTGCATCCTAACCGGTTGAGCCATCAGGGAAGGCCTATGATGGTCACTTTTTATGTGTTAACCTGGCTGGGCTATATCCCTATTTACTCAGTCAAATACTAATTTGAGTGTTGCTGTGAGGGTGCTCTGTAGAGATAGTTAAACTCCATAATTAATTGGCTTTATGTAAGGGAGATTATTCTAAGTCATATGAGTGTAGTCAGTTAGTTGAAAGACTTTAAAAGCAGAACTGAGGATTCGCTCAGGTAGAAGAAATTTAGCCGTGGATAGTAGCTTTGCCCTGTTTCTGGAGAGTTCCACAATGGCTTGCCCTGTGGATTTTTGGACTGGCCTAGTCAGCCTCTGAAATCATGTAAGCCCATTCTTTACATAAATTTCTTAATATATTTTTGCTACTGGCTTTGTTTCATTGCTTGACTCCTATCTTACTCAGATGTTCTGATGATAAAATGTTAAGTGAAAAAAGCAATCTTCAAACTCATAACTAATAATATAAAATTTATTTTATCTACACAGAGAAGGCAGTCTGGACAGAAAGAAATTATTAATAGTGGTTATCAAAGTATTTTTCATTTTCATCCTTGCCACATAATCTATTTTCTAATTTTTTAAAAGATTTATTTATTTATGCATACAGAACTAGGGTACAGGCCAGAGGTGCAGGGGCGGTGAGAGGATTCACCAGAGGCAGAGCAGGAAACAGAACAGGCTAACTGACAAAGTACACTGCTGAAGGGAGCAGTGGGCAGATCAGGAAAGGTCTGCTGTGCCATGTGGGGATGGTGATCGAACTCATGCTGAAGTG